CCGTTTCCTAACACCATTAAGCCACTTTGCAACTCCCAAAACGACATCGTACATGCTTAAAGCAAGATATATACCAATACCAGCAATAATCCCATTAGCAATGGAATAAGTCAACGGCATAAGCAAGATCGTTACAAATGCCGTCACGGCTTCTTTAGTCTCTCCCCATCTAATATCTTTTACAACTCCCATCATCATCACACCAACCATCACCAACGACGGCCCAACCGCCCACCTCGGCACGTTAGTCACTAACGGCGTCAAAAACATCGACGCCAAGAAATACATTCCTACAATAACCGCCGTTAGCCCCGTTTTCCCTCCTTCTTTCAACCCCGCCGAAGACTCCACGAAAGTCGCCGTCGTTGTAACCCCTAACGCCGATCCCACCACGGAGGATCCGGCGTCCACTAAGTAAGCCGTGTACTCTCCTTCGAACTTCCCGTCTTCCACGAACCCTCCGATCTCAGCCATCGTGTAGAGTACTCCAGTCGTGCCTAGGAGGTCAACGTAAAAGAGTGTAGCGAACGCGACCCAAACCTCGCTCTTTCTAAACTCCGTGAAGCTTATAGCTCCTAACGTTGACTGGATCTTGTGAAAGTCAACGATTTTTGTGAAGTAGTTATAGTTTGAGTCTCCAAGAGGAGTATGTGGAAAGATTGTGACTTGAGTGCCTCTAATCCAAGAAACAGCCGTGACGAACACGATTCCGTAAATCATACTACCTTTGACGTTCTTCATTAGACCAAAGCTCGTTATGAGAAACCCTACAACGGCTAACCAAAACGTAGGACTCTTCATTTTCCCTCCTAAGCAAGCTCCAGTGACAGAATCCGTCTCTGCGCAAGCGGTTAATGTCACTAGAGTTGACTTATCCGGTCCCACGAGCCCAATGCCCTGGTTCATTTGTAAACCTACGAAGGCAATGAACATTCCAATACCAACCGCACAGGCCAGTCTCACAGTTTGAGGAATGAGACGAGCCAGTTTCCCGCGGAGTCCTAAAGCGGAAACCGCGAGAAACGCGCATCCTTCAAGCAGCACGATGGCCATAGCGGTATGGTAAGAGATTGAACCAGAGCCACGAAAGCCAACTACGTTGTATGCGATGTAAGCGTTGGCTCCCATACCCGGAGCAAGTCCAAAAGGTAGATTAGCTAACAAACCCATTGCTAATGAACCAACCATGGCTGATAAAGAAGTAGCCACAACGAGGTCCTTTTTAACCCTAGCAAGACATTCTTCGTAGCCAGGGTTAGAACCAAGGACGCAGTCTGGACCGGGTGGTGAAGAACCGGCCACGGTGGAACAGTCGTGGAAGGAGCAAGTGGCCCCGGAGTCCGCTAAGATATTGGCGTTAACAGTAATGATATAAGCCATGGTGAGGAATGTGGCGGTTGCAGCTCGTAGTTCGGTTGTGAACGTTGTTTTTCTTGTTTCTAGCTTGAAGAAACGACCGGCGAAGCTCTTGGAAACGGTGTTGTTTAAGTGTTTCTTCATGTCGCTCCACGACTTGCATAACTTCTTCTCTCTACCCATGACTAATAATAATGAAGAATATAGGGAGCAAATGCAGGAGGAGGATGTCATGCATATATAATTATGTGAAACACAAACTAAAATATACAAAGTGGACAAAAAAGAAACTCAAATATGATCAAATTGCAAAGAAAACAAATATATTTTTCTGTTCAACTAAGAAAAATTAATACAAAAAGCTTCACAACCACGTGATACTCTCTTGTATCTATGGAAGGAAAATCTAAATATCTAAGCCTGTTTTGACCGAATTTTTTTGATTAGAAAATTGTTACTTTTTCGGGTTACAATAGATATAGGACCAAACAAGTCATTGTCTAAGAAGCTAGGCATTGGCTTCGGTCCAAGACCAAGAATCAAATCAATTTTTTTCTATTTTTGGTGAACTTGGCAAATCAGAATTAAAAGAAAAATAAATTAGCAGTGATAGCATTTTCAAAATAATTTATTTATGTCAAGGATACTCCCGAATCAATCAAGCGTATCTCACAAATCACTCAACAATCTATTTATGTCAAGTATATATTATGTAATTAGAACTCTCTAGAACTTCTTCACTGTATATATACATTGTAAAAGTTCTAGAGAGTTCTAATTACATAATATATACTTGACATAAATAGATTGTTGAGTTGAGTGATTTGTGAGATACGCTTGATTGATTCGGGAGTATCCTTGATAATCCATCCACTTTTCGGATGAATTGGAGAGCCATAACTAGGAAAGTCAACTAGTGTTATTCTCCTTGACCTCACCTAGTTGGACATCCCATTATATCTACTTGTGACTCGTGACCTATTGTTGCATATTCAGTTGACAGTTTGTCTTAGTTTACGCAAGACTCCGGAAGTTAATTTGGTTGGTAAAAATGACGATTTTAGTTCCACAAGAGCTTACTGTTTTTTATTTTTCGATTGGCACTAGAATTTTATCAGTGGTTCAGTCAAGTTCTCTTTGTGTTTCACATCTTAAATATATATATATGAGTTTCCACTTAATTTTTCATCTGCAAATTACCAAGTATCAAGATTTGTCTTCCGTTGTCAATTTAAAGGCCCTGTACAAAAATACAGCTTATAATTGTATTTGTTTCACTATATCATTTGCTTTCTAGCTTTAATATTCTTATTTTATCTTTATAAATTTGTATGTTAAAATAATTTACCACATACACCATCGATAATCGAACCCTACTTTCTTGTACGATAATAGATAGCTGGATAAACACTCGTAGAGATGTTTCATATATGTCAAGTTGTGATACAAAAAGAGCTAAAACCATAACGGATCATTAGAACTTAGTTGACTACGTGAATCGATTATTGTCTAATTGATGTAATATAATTGGTAAGACTTTTTTCATAAACTTTAGTTTTCCTATATAGATATTAATGGAATAATTGAAATAAGTGTACTTGTTGTTAATAGATAAAACCTATATGAAATACAGAATTTGAAACAACTTTGTCTACTACAATATTGATTTCCTCGGAACTAATTTTATTATATACATTGACAAAAAGCTAAATTAATCATTAAGCCACAATACTCCACATGCACTTGGTTTTTGTCCCCAGAACTTTTTTCTTCCTCGCAGCTCGTGAGATTCCATCGGTCGAATTTCACAATCTGTAAACTATAGTTTATTAAAAGAGAAATAAAGATAGATTTTTGTCTCCTTCTATATTAACTTATAACCCACCTATGTTCTTTTCAACAAAAAGATAAAGTGGCACATAGGCCTGCTCTTATTTTATGCAGTTTAACGTAAGGAAGTTTGTGCCATAGCATTCTACTTATAATTGTCGAATAACACTGACCGCTTATTAACCAAAAAAAAAAAAAAAAGGTTCATGGTAACTAGAGGAAGATCAGTGTAAAAAAGTAGGTTAATTGTAAAAAAGAAATTGATTAAACTCCAAGTTCTGAGTAGGAAGATTTTTTTGTTTACTATCAAAATATATTTTGATATGTTCTAGCTTATAACTAGATTAGAATTGAACATCTGAAATTACCGAAACAATATTCATATAACTGGTTAAGTCAATTTTGCTTGGTTAAATTGCAAACATTTAAACTAATTTTGTTTGTGATAAACATAAATGTCACACGTAAAACCAATAAAGAAAAGAAAAGAATGTCACTCGTAAATTTACTCAGACGTCAAGATCATCGTCCATCGATGAAGAAGATTCACTAAAAACAAATTAAGTAAGAATAATACTACTAATTATCTTTTCTTCTTCTTTTTTCGCTAAGTGGAAATAATACTATTCATTCAGTACAAATTCAATATTAGAAAATTGCATATTGTTCCGATTAATATAATCTTTCTCATTGTAAGAGTATACGTTTAACTATTCCATGAAGATAATTCAAAGTATAGATGAATCTATATAATATAACAATTGCCATGCGTATGTGTAAATTATGTTAAAGTAAGAGCAGTGTATATTTTAGTTTCACTAAGAACTAGATTGAGAAGAGGGTTACCCTTTTAAGAAAAAGTGATTTGGAAAGAAAAACATTAACATATGAAATAACCTTTGTGCAGAAAGGATATCAAAGAATAATATAATTGGGATTTTGTTTTTTGTTAAGAAAATTTTGAAAGGGACTAAAATCATATATATATTATTCAAAGTTTATGGACTAATCTACTGTATTTATATATTTATTCTCGAAATTGCTTTGGTATTTGAACTATGAATTTGTAGATCCGCAGTCTTGTTGGACGTGTTGAATCTTTTGACGATAAGATTGAAAGTAAAGGTTCAGCAAACCAAAATTAGATGAGAAAATCGGGTGAAACTAGATGATTGTTGAGCATTAAATTGTTAATGCATGAGATTCAGTTCTTCCAAAATTCAGTATTATCATTATGTCTCTACGATTACATTTAATTACAAACTTCTTAGGCCCAAAAAAGTATATATTATTCGCAAACAAGAAAATCAAGCACACCGATCCTCTTAATATACTGAGAAATCAAGAACAATATGAATAATACGGCTTTTATTTATTGGACTCTTAGGTCTCGTATATATACATGACTCTCATAACCTCAAAACCCTAACCGACTCTCCAAGTAATTACATATTCGAATAAGGTAAATATACAATATTGAGATTATCTACAAGGATATGTGATTATCCTTAATACCCCCCTCAAGTTGGAGCATGGAGATTCCGAGTGCCCAACTTGAGTAGAAATGCGTCAAATTCCCTTCGTCCCAACGCCTTCGTAAAGATGTCCGCAAGTTGCTCCGTAGTAGAAACGTGAAATGGTTTGACAACGCCACAGACTATCTCATCACGGACAAAATGACAAGCATTTTCGAGATGCTTCGTACGTTCATGAAAAACCGGATTAGAACTTATATGCAGTGCCAGTCCAATGTTTGCGAAGGCCCTACTCAAGATAAAATTTTTTTCCCCCTTTTAAAATACTACTTAAATTCATACATAATACTATTTTTCTTCAACTTCAAACGAGCGAAACAGAAGTTCAGACATACAAAAAACATAGAGCATCAAAACCAATCTCTAAAAACCAAGAACAAAATCATATTCAGATATCTCAATGAACACATCCTTAAGAATTCACAAGCACATACCTCTGTTACGTTTTTATTTTGATTAATTTAGTAACAAAAAAAGAAAAAAAAAATGGGCCGTAAGCCGCCGCTTAGGTTGCTTACGTCGAGGGTCGGCCCTGCTTATATGTATCGCAGCTTGATTGTCGCACCTAATCGTTATTGGTTTCACATGATCAAATCCGAGATCAAACAGAAGTGATTTAAGCCATTTTAACTCCTTAGTCAAAGCATTCATAGCCCGATATTCAGCTTCAGCGGAAGACATAGACACCACATCTTGCTTTTTAGTTTTCCACGAAATCGGAGAAGATCCAAACTGAACAATCCAACCCGTTAAAGAACGTCTTGTTAACGGACAACCCGAATGATCCGAGTCGCACCAGCCGGTAATATGGAGTGGCGAGTCTGCTCTTAGAAGAATTCCTTGTCCAAGAGTGCCCTTAAGATAACGGACCACCTTTAACGTTGCAAGCCAATGCTCTTAACGCGGAGTCTGCATGAATTGAGAAAGGATGTGTACCGCATACGCAAGATCTAGTCTTGTTGCAAGTAAATAAACCAGACGTCCCACAAGCCTACGGTAGCTCTCAGGATCAGCCAGAACGCGACCATTGGCAAGGCTTAATTTGTGATTCTGGTCAATAGGAAAACCAAATGGTTTACAATCGAGAAAACCAACCTCATTGACAATTTCTGTAGCGTACTTTCTCTGGCACAAGTAGAAACCTGTAGGACTACGGGCAACTTCAATGCCCAAAAAATATTTGAGAAAACCCAAGTCTTTCATATGGAAGCACATAGACAAATACTCTTTGAATTTCTTAATTTCCTCCGCATAATTTCCCGAAATAATTAAATCGTCAACGTAGACCAAGATACGGAGTGAGACACCGTTCTTGGAGTAGACGAATAAGGAGTAGTCTGATTTCTTTTGGGAAAAACCATACTTAAGAAGAGCAGCGGTAAGTTTAGCAAACCAACACCGAGGAGCCTGTTTCAAGCCATAGAGTGATTTGCACAAGCGACACACTCGTGTTTCTGTAGGAGACGAAAAACCTTGTGGTAATTTCATGTAAACTTCTTCTTCAAGATCACCATGCAGAAACGCGTTATGAACATCCATCTGATGTACCTCATGATTTTTCTTAGCCGCAAAATCCAAGAATAAACGTACGGTCGTCATTTTCGCAACCGGCGAAAACGTGTCATTATAATCAATCCCCTCCTTTTGATTATTTCCAAGAACAACGAGCCGCGCCTTATGCCTCTCTATAGTCCCGTCAGACCGCAGTTTGATTGTAAATACCCATTTGCTCCCGAGAGCTTTCTTACCCGGACGCAATTCTTCAAGATCCCAAGTGTGATTACGTTGCAAAGCATCGACCTCAGAACCCATGGCATTGCGCCATACTTTTTCTTTCATAGCTTCATTAAACGTCCGTGGTTCAACAAGACTAGTAAGAGAAGCAAAAAAACTACGATGTGTAGGTGAGAATTTTTCAAAAGAAATATAATCGGAGAGAGGATAGACCGCACCTGAGGATGGCTGTGGGGAAGGTGATGATGGTGAGAGGGAGGAGGAGGGATTAAGAGTCACCATACCAACAATGTAATCATTAAGTCGAACATTCGGAAACTTTGGTCTTTTTCCTTGACCAAGTTCAGCAGCCGGAGAAGGCGTATGGACTGGAGTCGTAGTTGCAATCAGAGCCGGAGGAGGAGGAGGAGGTAACGGTGCCGGCGGAGGTACTGAAATGGCAGTGTTTTCAACAATATCATCAACATTGCCAAACGCAGGTGGTGTAAGAGCTGGTGTAATCTCAACTCGAGCTGTCTCCTCCATGAATGGGAAAATATCTTCACGAAACACAACATCACGAGAGACGAAAAATACTTTACGATCCAAATCATATAATTTCCAGCCTTTCTTCGCATAAACCGAGAAAAACACCTCCTACTCCGGGATGCAAATTTGTCACCCTTGTGATCGATGTTATGAGCATAGGCGAGACAACCAAAGACTCTAATGTGTGTAGGACGGAGCATTACCGTAGATACGTTCAAAAGGAGTCTTGCCATAGAGGAGAATCAAAGGAGTCCGATTGATAAGATATCCCGCATTAAGAACACATTTACTCCAATATTCAATAGGAAGATGAGCTTGAAAACGCAACACCCTAGCAACATTCAAAATGTGACGATGTTTACGCTCAACACGGCCATTCTGTTGAGGAGTATGAACGCATGATGTCTCGTGAACAATGCCTTGTTCCTGGAAGTATCGGGTAAGACACATAAATTCAGTCCCGTTATCACTCTGGATAGATTTTATTTTCCTCGAGAATTGTCTTTCAATCAATGCCAAAAAATCACGGATGCTTTGTGCCACCTTTGTCTTATCCGAGAGAAGATATAGCCAAACAGCCCGTGAATAATCATCGACAATCGTCAAAAAATAACGTGAACCACAAAACGCCGTCGTACGATATGGTCCCCATAAATGGGAAAAATGTCATTTAAATCATCAGTTTACCATTTTTGTTGGTTTAAATCATGAACTCTAGATCTGGTGATTTAAATCTTTACTTTTATGTTGATTTTCATTTTAATCATGAATTCTCATTGACAAAGTCAATTGAGGCACATCGCTAACTGACTAAAGGGATCAATAAGACGATGTCATCGCATAACTGGTACTTCGAAGCCATTGCATAATTTTTCTTCTACACCAACATGGTTTCCATCTTCCTCTTCGTCTGATTGCTCCGTTTACCCAGTTAACAATGAGCCTCAATTGGCTTAGTCAACGAGAATTCGTGATTAAATTGAAAGTCAACATAAAATTGAAGATTTTAATCACCAGGTCCACATAAAATTGAGGATTTAAATCACCAGGTCCAGAGTTCATGCTTTAAACCAACGAAAATGGTAAACTGATGATTTAAATGACATTTCCCCCCCCCCCCCCCCCCATAAATCAAGATGTATTAATAGAAAACAGAACCAATAGACCTTGTCTGAAGCTTCACGGAGAATGACGTTGAAGACTAAAGATGTGTTTTTTTATTTTCTTTTGAAACCCACAAATCTTCAATCAAGCAGAAACTAGAAGAATAGAAAGTTGAACCAATAGACCCATGATCTCCTGATGCTCTGATACCATGTAGATAATCTCAAGATAATGAGATTAATGCTCTTAGAGAGCTTATTAACATAGAAATATGAAACTGAAAATGAGATAGCTCATATGGAGCTTTATTCAAATGTAAAGAGCAAAGAAAGGTGAAGGCTTTAGGTTGTCTTCAAGACCAAAATAGATTTCGATTATGTTTCATAAAAGGATGAATGTGGCTGCTCAAAGAGGCAGCCTTGGTTACTTTCATCAATGTTTTACATAACATATATATATGAGAGCTCTTACAAAACCTAATCTCATGGACTAATGGGCTTCTCATGAGGCTAATCTTTGGGCTTCTTTGTGGCCTCTAATATAAACCTTAACTATATAGTATTATTTTAAGAACAACCAACAGAGGTTGTAAATTTCAAGGACCGAAAATAAATGCACTGCTTTTTAAACAAAACTCATTCTTTACTCTGATAAAAAGGATAGTTCTTGTATATGTGACAATGACATGTTTCTTGTCAAACATGTCATTTCAAAAATCAACTTTCAGCTTTCAATGGATGAACTTTCATTCACCTTCAATGTTCAAATCATTCTTAGTTCACCAAGATCTAGCCTAAATAATGTTTTCTAGTTGACACTATCGCTATATATTCATTTCCCCACAAATCCAACAGATCGACAACGTTTTGTAATATAAATTAAATACAAGTTTATTTACACAAACAATAGTTTGTTCTTTTAGTTTTAACTACAATGAATCGTAAAAAATAGCTAATTAAATGTACAGTTGTATAGAATTATATTTTTATTAGTACATCTTATTAAGTGTACAAATGTATTTTTATATAGATATTTTTATTCGTACATCTCATTAAGTGAACAAATGCATATTTAATAAACACATTTCTATTCGTACATCTCATTAAGTGACTTTGACACTTCTTTATAGTTTCATTTTTTATATAAAAAAGCCCAATACAAAAATCCGATTACAATTAAAAGAAACTAAAAACAGCTCATAAGAAGAATAAAATTGGAGCCATAATACAATTATTTGGGTCATAACCCATCCGATAAAAAAAAGCAGAAACTTACGAAAAAATATAATTGGGCTTGGACTAGTGGGCTTTATTTGCTAACTGAAAACTTTAGGATATCTCTTGAGGGACTTTTTGGGCGATACCGGCGGCGACGACGGTGGCTGCAACTTGGCGACGAACCATAGGCAGTTGGACGGACTTTTGAAAGGCAGTCTCTCTGGCTGCAGCAATGCCATCTTCTCTGGTAGGTGCTTGCATCTCTAGCACTTGTCTGTCAGCTTGTTGTGCTTTTATTTTAGTAGTTGTCATGGCTGTTCTAAGCTTCTTTTTTGATGGATTAGATAAGCACCGACGAGAATATCTATAAAAATAACATAGCATTCTCTAGCTACTATCAGTAAGAATTCCACATGAACATGGCTTGCACGGCGAAATCTTCAATGACTACGTAAATCGCGGTCGTGATGGCGGCTCCGCCAAGAATCATGAAAAGAATTCCAACGAGGTTTTCAGTCTTGGAAACATGGAATGAAAACTTTGAACATGTGAATTGCTAAATAGATGACTGCCACAATCCCCAAAACAACCAACTTCCCGGTTGTTAACTCGGTATTATTAGTAGCTTTTGTAGGAGCAAACGGTCTTACATCAATGTCATCAATAGTAATTTTGATGGGGACGAACACCAATGTTATGAGAAAAAATCATAAAATAGTGGTGTACACCGCAGAAGAGACAAAATTTTAATATACCGTCTAGGAAAGATCCAAAAATTTTAAATACGCAAAATTGAATGAACTTTGCAAAAAAATTACATTAGGATTATACATCAATTTTTAAATTAAAAAAAGTTTAATAATATCAGAATATATAACCAAAATTTTAAAAGAAAACATAAATAAATAGAGACTTTTGTTAATTGTCAACAAATATAACAATAGCCACTGACAAGGAAAGTCAACATTTTGTGAAATAATTGGAGTGATTTCTGAAAATCATAATTAATGCGTGGGAGCATGTTTTGTATCACTAACTCATTTACACACAATTAATGTTGGCAATAACACATCTATTCACCAAGTAGCACAAATTGAAGAATTTAGTTTTTGTTGACTTTTTCATTTTTATATATTACTTTGATATAATCTACAAGCTTTTTTTTTATATATACTCTATGAAAGTATATGTAAAGGAACGAAATTTAGAAGAGCCATACATTATTTTGTGTGAAAATATCGTAAGGCATATGTATTGTGCCAAATGGCGTATTTGACTTTTTTTTTTTCCTTGTTATCCAAAATTAATTATAGCTCAAAAAAGTCATTCATGCGAAATGTTGTTTACATATGTGATATGAAACGGTTCTGTACAAACTTCCGTACTAGATTATCCGCTTTTACATATGTGAAATGGCGTATTTGACTATTGTAATATTTTGAGTTTTTTTGTGAGGTTATAATCTATGCGAATATATTTTGTTCTTTCAATTAATTTTGGTGTTAAAGATATTAGTTTATCTATTAGAAATGTGAAGCAAAACACTATATTTATAGGATCTAGTTTACATATGCGTAGGTATCAGTCTAGTTGACAATAAAAAACAATGTAAGATAGTATGCATCATATATAAATGATGAATTTATAGAATTTTTTTTTTCCAAACAAAACAACAAATCTAATTTAAACAACAACTTATGCACTTTTCTTGAAAATCGAACACAGTGTTTAACCGGTTTACTAACACCGTAAAGATCGATGTAGAAATCAGCTAACGGTTATATGATTCAGGTTGGTAGTTAAAAATTTTTACTGGTTCATGTTCATAAATACATGCTGCAATAGTTTGGATTGAAAAAAGCATTCGAAAAATTGTTTGAGTTAATTTTGATCATTTTTCCGACATAATTCTAGCATTGAGAATAAATGCCTATCAATTTGTACGAATCTCTTTTTATTTTATTTTATTTTGTAATGAATTTTGATTTGAAGTTGAAATCCTAAGATTATAACTACAAAAAGATTTCAAAACTATCATATGAGTTAGAAGCACCTTTGTAAACCTTTTTTCTTACACTA